TCACCTCCGGGGCAGGCGGGAATCGAACTCATGCGGAAGTGGCTTTAGCTTCTTAGTGCTGTGCTTTAACCCACTGCGCCACCAGGGAGGGCCAAATCTTAAAAATAAAAAACCAACAATGCATTTGTTTTCCAATAAAAAATTATGTATGTTCAAATGGTAAATCCTAATACTGAAATACTAATAAAGACAGCACATACATTTTAAATTATTATTCATTTGCCTGCTAAGTGCTAAAGATTCAGATTAATAACTAAACTTATCTCCACAAAAAAGTTATACAATTATCTCACTATCCTACTTACAGCACCAATGGTAAAGGAAGCCTGAATTGCCATTGAATTAAAAGATATACAACCCTATTTTAATGATACATTGATAATAAGTAATCAGGAGCCAAAAACTGTCAGTTCATTTTAGAAGTCCACAAGAGCACTATAATCTTCAAGATGCAACCATGAATATCAATTCAGCCTTACCTGTTTAACATAATGGATTTGTGACACTCCATCGGTGAGTTGTACACAATGTAACAGCAAGGAAGCTAGATTTTTCCCTTCCACATCAGCCAGAGCTACATAACAAACATAAAAAATTCTTGATATAGCAATATATGAATGAGTTTGAATTTGTTCTGCAACCCACAGAATGAAAGTTTATAACTTCCCCCCCCCAAAAAAAAAAAACTTAGGAGAGATGTTGAAGAAAACCATTTTACATGCAAAAAAGGTGGAAAAATTTAAAAGTAAACGTTTGAATATTATGACATACGAAGTCCCAGAGATAAAAATGTCTGCAACCTGTAGAAGAAATAAATGAAGTCTCAAATCACTCACATCTCAAAGTTTCAAGGTCCTGATGACAAATGGTTAATGCAGTAACTTGTGTTTCTTTCTTCTTCTTTATACCCATCTTAACCAGATTTAACAGTAGTTGCTGCAAGAAGACGCATAACAGAAGCTGAATGAATGCCTTCCACCCAGATTCCTGCACAGCACCCCAACTGTTTTTCTACCCTTGCTGATGAAGAGTCCATTCATCGAAGCAATGTTTCAAAAACTGCAATCAAATCTAAAATACTCTTCCTTACATTTCCCTAGGGCTGCCAGTTACACCTAGCATAAAACCCCTTCAAGGCTGTAAGTAATCTATTTCTACCTTCCTCTGCTCTTCATCTCAAATCAATCTTCTCTCACCATTTCAGGGGCTTTGCATTTTCTCATACCTTTGCCTATCAATGCTTATTCAGCTGAGTCCTTTACTTCAGTTCTCTTAAATATCACCCCTAAAAGAAGCCTTCTGTGACCACTTTATCTAAAATATCACCACACCTGCTCCCATACATACCATCTCCACTACATTTTCTTCAGCGAACTTACTGTTGCCTGAAAACATTAACTTGTTTTTCTATGTATTGTGGTCTCCAGGAGTAGTAAACCCTTAAAAGCAGTAACTTTCATGATTTGTTCACGGTTTTATTTCTCAGTTCCTAAAATAGAACCTGGTAAGTATTAAGTGTTTGATATATGTCATAGGATAAACGAATTAATTAATATTTGCAAGAAATGTTCCAGAAAGAATGTACGGCAAAAAGGTGGACTACCTGGTCCAAAAATACATTCTACAGCTTAGTGATAAGCTAGTCCTGACATTAAGGAACCTATGCCCACTTGCTGTGTAAAAAAATCAATACAGCATTCACTGGAGATCACTTCCTAGGGTGGTGACCACTGCAAGTTTAGAGGGGAGAGAAATAGGTAACTCAAGATACTGTTCTTTGGTGAACAGTGACACCGCACGTTTACCGCAGCGCTTGGTCTTGGAAGCCTCAAGAACTACACAAAAATAGGTTCGGTGTCTAGCCGTGCTCAATGGATCACTAAACGTTGGTCCCGATGAACCCGGCCTCCTCACCAAGACAAGACATCGTGCCCACTGTAAAGCGCTGCTTAAGTGGCCAGAAAAGTCTCCCTAAATTACACTCCTGGGTCTCGCTGGCTGATTCCCTTTGCTTCATTATCATCTACACTTTCTGGCTGATTCCCACATGCTCTGAGCAGTGTTCGAAACACGTGGCGCTCAGTCAGGGAATGACAGATTAAAAAAGGTTAAGATGCGATCTCCATGGAGACGGAAGCGACGGGAAATCAGTTGCTCACAGGGAAACTCTCGCGATGCTAAAGGCTGGGACTTGTGAATCACCTGGCGACGCTAGCCAAATGGCCGAGCAGAGCTGCGGTGGAGTCCCGCGCCACCGCAGGTCTGCCCGGCAGGATGCCTGGGAGCCAAACCTCGTGCCCGTGGGCGTCTGAGAACAAGTCGCAGCCGTCGAGATGATTCCCGGAAGCTGATCTAGTGCTACGGTGCCTCCGTGGCTGGCAGCGTGGACAGCTGTCTATCGGGTCAGAATGATGGGAGGGAAGCTCTGGGGCTGGAGAAAAGAATCGCGAGATTTGAGCAAACGCGCCTCTCCAATCAGGAATCCGAAGAGGTCGTGATGTCATCAATATGCGTAGATTTGGGAGACCTGACTCTTAAAAAGTTGTAATAGAGTCTCGCTGGCTTCGCTGGAATGAACGTAGCCTGTCGGAACCGCCTCGTTCCTTTTAGGCCATCCTACTTAGAAATCTCCACGCCCCTTTTGCTCTTCCCAAAATGCCACCCTTCTTCCACTCAACTGAGACGGGGAGAAAACGGACTCCGGGCGTGGAAACGAGGGCCTTACTTAGCCTTCCAGATGGGTACCACTGGTGGGGCGTGTATCGAACCCAAGTCCTAGTTAGAATTCTGACGAAAATGAGAAGTGCTGAAACATACTGGTTAATGCTTGAGTGCATCTATTCATTCGTGATAGAGTTAATGAGCTTCATTGTCTGGCCCTCCTTGACAGTTATCCCGTTTAGGATGTATATTTCGCACAATACATAATAAGTATTGTAAAACCGTCCTTTAAAAACAAAACAAGTCGATGCCGAACACTATGCTAGAAAACCGGGGGAGTAGACAAGATCTCTCTTTTAGAAGTCTCCCTTATTCCCACCTGAGAAACTTGTCACATTTGAAGATCCATCACAACATCGCCTCCTCAGTGAAACCGGACAAGAAATCCCTTTTTTTTTACTGCTATACTTAGATTTCGATCTAAGTTAGCATTGTCACCCTGTTAGTACACCTTAGTTATTTGTATGCTTGTCAATATTTATGAACTTTTCCAAAACAGGGACCATCTTTAAAATACCAGTAGGAGTAGCTGAGCAAAAATTGATATTTATTGGGTTAGGGTTAACTGGACCATCAAGTTCTTCCCCATATTAATGTGTTGTATGCTTGCTCTACACTGTATAGCAAACGACAGAATTATTTCCACCTTTTAACAGGGATTTAACCAGTGTGAATACTCCCCAAATTGTAGGCAGAGGGTTTTCTGAGAGTGAAATGACAGGAGGTCCTCATTTTTAACTGATTTAATTGTTTGAATAATAACATACATACCTGAGGAATATAGCAGTCATATGGGAAAACACTCCAGGTATTTGAGTTTATTAACTTCCTACCCAAAAATATATTTAAATAACTTGGGTCAGACTGTACAATTTAGTGAAATATAACAAATAGGAAATTACTTTGTTTATAAAGATTGCTCCATATTGTTTTTAAAATTCACCCATATTGTTTCTCTACCTGGTCTTAGTTGCAAAATAAGTAGTCAAAAGAAGTAGTTATAATATGACCTGAAAATGTTAGGACAGAAGATTATATGTACATGTTTATCACTTCATAAAAACTATAGTAGGGTTGGAAACAATGTCAGGCTGGTAACGTGAGTGTGAGCTAAAACCATCATCCTTGTGAAGCAATTCAAAGAAATTTATTAAAGAGATTATTCAGAGCAAGCTGAAGACTCAAACTCAGGGAGGGATCAGTAGAATTCTCATACTATCCCTGCCCTTAACAGTTAGATACAGTTTGTGGGGGAAGATTAGGTGCACATGAGATAAATCTATAGCAGAGAGAAAGAAAAGAAAAACAAGGAATGTTATATAAAATGTCAAAAAGTGACCTCATTCTGCAGAGGTAAACCTGACCTGGGGCTTATTAAGATTTCTTTCTCTCCTGAATTATGCTTCTGAGATGTGAAGACTGTACAGTTTCCCATTCCTTCAGCAAACTCGCAACATGACAAGAAGGTGGGGAGGGACCCGTGGTGGCCTGGGTAGGTGATTCTTCAGCTGTGTGGCATTTCACAGCAAAAATAGTCTGCTATTTTTATCTTTTCATTGACTACAAGCCTCTTCAGCTACCAACTCAGCAGCTTTCCAAATGAACACTTTGCAGACAAGCAGTGAAATTGTAGGATTTTTATCCAGTTTACATTTGTAAACTTTTTCTTCTAAAATTTTCTTTAATGTTGTGTGAAAAGTTGACACCTGCAAAGTCATGTTGAAAATAGAGGGGGAGCCATTACAGAGCAATTGCATTACTTGTTTGGTTTGAACTGGGTCAAAAATCTTTAAACTGGGTCAGAGACATTTGGACTGGACAGAAAGCAATTGTTTTAAGAATCTGTCAAGCAAATGATTGTTTGAGAACTGATGATTATGGCCTTTTAGCTGGGTGATAGAATTGTAACAGGGTGGTCTGTAGGAAAAGGGGAAGTTCCAGGTTCCCTGCCCCACCCAGAAGGAGGGTGGAGCTGAGCAGAGAAAAAGGAGAGGAGAGAATGAGAAGAGAAGAAAGGAAGGAAGCTAGATGGAGAACAAGAAGGAGACCTGAGGAAGTGACATGGAGCAGCAAGCATGTGATGTAGAAACCGTGCTTGTTTCCTGACCCTGG